ACTTTTTTTTTTTTTTTCTCCAAACAGATGTTTGGTCTTGATTGTCACCCTGTGACACAGTCATATTTACATTAACAGTGAAAGTTACAACCTCTATTTGAGGTAACACTTGTGTTAAAGTACTAATTTATCCGTATCACATGGTTCTCGCCCTCTAAAATAATTTAATTCAACTTTCCTTCATGATTCATATAAAAAATATATATATTTGAAACTGTTGACTAAATATAAAAAAGGAAAAATCCCCTCTAATAAGGATGCAGTGTGGCATGTTCAGAAGCAACTTTGCTGACTAGTGAGAAGAGCGCCAGCAGATAATTTAGTTAAATTCAAGGTGAATCTGAAGTTTTAGAGAAATCAGAGCCATTCAGAAAGAAAGTAGACTTTGTTCCGAAACAAGTAAAATAATGCTTGTCTTAATCGTAGAAGTCAAGCCTCCTTTACATAAAGGGAAAGCAGAGCCAGATTAATTGTATTCTAGCCTCCTACTTACTAGAGTGCATCTGTAAAATTTTTCTAGACAGCTAAACCAAAGGATTTTGCTTTAAGATGTAACCATATGTTAGTATCAATAAAAAGCAACTACTGAGGCAGCTACTATGTACAAGTAAGCTATTTTCATGAAATGAACATTTGCACTTCAGACCATGTTTTTCAAGAAGTAGGTAAACCTAGTTTACCAAGAAATAAGCGCAACAAATAAAAATGCTCCCAAGCAGGTTATTAAACATCCAGGAAATTCAGGTATTTTAATAATAATCACCAGTGTGCCCCAAAAGTCATATTGGGGATCTATTTCATTGCTGAAGAGAAGAGATGAGACCATGACCTCGTTTACCAGAAACGAGCATTTTTCGGCAGAGTCATTTAAAGAGTCTTACCAGGTGAACGTACGTACCTGTGCAAAAAGGACGATAGCTGTCCCCACCAAATTGTGCCATAACTCCAACACCATAAGCAGCTGCTTGCCTAACCTCTGGGCTGTTGTCACATATTGACTGTAGCATTGGCCTCAGGAAGTATTCAGCATATTTGAATGAGGAGGGACTGCAGTGCTCTACAATGTCATCAAAAATGCATAAACCCCACTGCCTATCTGGCCATGGCCTATGTGGACACTGCATCAAAAACAAACAACATGTAAACCATCTTAAATTTGGTATTTTTGTACAGTCAATGATTCTGTCAAAAAAGCATTCATTGTAACAGTAGTCTAGAATTTTTATCAAGTTCTTCACAGATTAAATTTAGTCTTACAGACACATCAGTTTTTATAATGATACTAGCAGCAGTACCATCATAAACAAAATAAAATCAGGGTGAATATCTGAGCTAATTAAAAGAGTAATGATTTTAGGCTAGATCTCTTACCTCCACTTCATGCTCAGTTACCTAATTCACGTGCAATTGTTCCCACTAACCTGTCCCACTTTTTTGGGCCCTTTTCTTGAAATCCCTTCTAGAGAGGACCAGATACTCCTAGGCAAATTACATTTCTCAGAATCGTTGTTTGTGTCAATAGTTTTTTGCATCACAAAACTCATACTTAGCACAGCACTGCAGTTGTTTAAAACATCAGGTAATGACTTTCATGATTCATGCTGGATCCAGAATAAACTTTGAAATACCTCTTATTCTGTAAAACAATGATTGCTACATTTTGTCTACCAAGTTCTCTGAGAAGCAAGCATGGAAGCCCTATCACATATCAGAACAAATCCAAATCAGATTAAAAGAATCCAAAGTACTTACAATTAGGTTGACAATTAGTGGTAGTAGCCTTTCAAACCATGGCAGCACCTTCTCCTTATAACTGCTGAATATTGAGTGCAAAATGTCTGACACTTTAGTCAAAATATAAACGTCACTATCATCCTGATGGGAAAAGAATGCAACTCATTTTAAGACTAACAATCTTTAAAATACCAGAAATCACATGAAATGCTAAGGTCTCTAAACTAATGAAATAAAGCTATTTATTGATTTGGTTTTATAAAAAACAATCTTAAGTTCACTCTTGGTATTACGTTCAAGTTGATTGCTATTAGAATGTTCAATCATGTTAACCTCAAAAAATTGTTTGCGGGGCACATTTTATTATGACATTGTCTTGTGCAAGTTCACTGCTTCAATGGATCCCCTTGACAGAAGACAGAAGGCCCTTCCCTGGAGCTTACAGATACTATAACAAGCTTTTATTGAAAAGTAAGTAGATACTGCTTTGTGATAGAAGATCGTGGCAAAAATAAGAAATATTGTCTCCTCTTTCCTTTTTTCTTTCCCTCAGCTTGCACAACTGATGCATTAAGTTGGTGAAGTAAAGATCTCTAGCTCAGATTCAGCTACCAACTCACATTATACTTGTTCCCCTGACCTGCTTGTGTCAGGAAAAAACTGACTTTGTTTTAAAGCAAGTTCTGTTGTACTTGGTATGATTTCTTTAATGAGTTTACACTTTAATGGGCAGGGAAAACCCAATGCAGTTAGTTTCTGGTATCTGCTGAGAAACTAGAAAGTATTTCTCATGCAAAAGACAGTATACCACAACAGGAGATTTAAACCCTTGCTGTTTAGACAAATTCTGCACTGCCAAGGCATAATTCAAGCAACTACCTCTGAAACATACACACAAATGAAAATGGGGGGGGGGGGGGGGGAACCCTACCCTGCTGTATTAGACAAGGTGGTCCTCCTGGCTTGGTATGCAGTTTCTACTAATAGCCAGTAACAGGTGCTTAGGGAGAGGGAACAACACTTGCACAGCACATATCTTCTCCCACCCTGCATCAATTAGCAACAGTTTAGTATCTGCCTAAGCCAGGGCTCTGTCTGGTAACTTACTGAAATCAGCGAGATCAAATACAACTTAAAGCATTTAAGGAAATGCCTTGAAACTCTTGCAGAGCATAGATCCAGCTTCTGTGGAACTGTTCTATTTGCTAGCTTTTTCACTCCTTATCAGTGCAGAGTGGTACATAAAAAGGATTATTTACAAACTGCCTAACTCACTCTCTGCAAGAATATTGAACAGTTTCTGCTGTTCGTTTTATTCATTCACGAGGCAGAAAATCAGGAGGGGCTCTTGTTCAAGACTTGAGTTTTGTTATCGCTTGCTCACAAGCGGTATGCAGATGCCAGAATTTTACCCTTTTGAATGCTGGCCAAATATTCCTAAAGGAGAGGGACACAAGAACTGTATTTTTAGGAAAATATTTACATATGGATGCACGATCTGTTAAGATGCATTCTGGAGTCTGAGAACAGGTCAAACTCATGTAAACAAGCTTCACAACTTTATTATGCATCATGTAGCAAAAATTCTTCCTACTAAATTTTTCCTGTGTAGCCTCCATTTCTTATAAGCAGCAGTGAATTATCATTTTTTATCAAGTTCACCATAACAGTGAAGATTTAATAGAACTATCCTATCTCCTCTTCAGTCAGCTCTACCTCAAATTAAGAGATCACTTGAGTATCTTAGCAGGCATGTCACTTGGGAGCCTCTCACAAGGAAAAACATTATGCACCTGCACCAGGCATTCATCCTGCTGTCCTTCTCTCCTTCTCTGTTGCTGTTTTAGGTCTATCTTTTTTTTGCGATAGGCTCCTGACCTAACATGTCAGACGCAGGTATCAGAGGTACACTCAAAGTATAAAAGCAACCCAGGTCTATAAAAACGCAGAAAAAAAGTCTGCAGTGTGGGCCTGGGATGACCGATAGCATTAGAAATGCTGTTGAAACAGAATTTGACAGCAGATTGCTTTTAAAAAAAAAGCTACCTAAAAAGAATTGTTTGAGGGAAGGAAGAAAATGAAAAGCTGTATTCTGAACTTTCTTTCAGCATACCGGACAAGGATTCCTTTTACATGTTCCAGTTCACACATGTGAGTATGACCCTAATGGACAATTCTTACTGGAAGTTTTGAAGTAATATACCAACAGTGCACTCTCCCTGTTGAAAATAACTCTGAGAAGATGCACTGCGCTTTGAGTAGCATGTCATAGGTGTTATTTCCATCCTGATGGGGAAAAAAAATCCCCAAATCAACTTACTTCATCTTGTAATGACTCTTCAACTTGTTCATCATAGTCTTCATCTTGTCTTTTCACTGAATTAAAAAACAAATATTAAACCATTGCAACATTGCTACAAGTATACAAGAAGCCTGTGAAAGGAAAAAAAGATGCTGAAACAAATTTAGAAAAGAGGACGCCTAGTATCTGAAGATGCAACTGGGTTTGCTGTCTTTAATACGCTTTAAAGAGCTCTTACAGAAAAAAACAAAATAAAATGACATATTTCAGACTGAGAACGTATAAAACAGCATGAGAAACCAGCAATAGAAGTAAACACACCACAAGGACAAGGGAAGTGCATATAGATATAGGATACTCCTGTTGCTTAAGAACTTTGCAAAGAATTCAGATTAAAAAAATGCCACAATGCCATACACTGTACTGTCTTCACTAAGTAATCTGTTTATCAACTTTTAATTAAGCTATGGTATTTCAGCAAGTGATGACATCTTCATCCTTCCAGAGCTTATAAAAATGATGCCATGTATTTTGCTTTTTCGAAGCCCAACTACCTTGCATAAATGCACAAACTAAAGAAACCTGAAGGTAAGCTTTTTTGTGTTCAGAAATGATTACAAATTCTGCTTTTAAGAACTGCCTCTATCATACATTAACATGAATTCATGATAACTTACCCTGTCTTAATTCTTGATTTTTAAAGTGCTCTTCTAATTTTCCTTTTAATATTCCCCCAAGTTCTTCAAAGTGTTCGTTGTTAAGGCATCCATCTCCCATTACCTCAATGCACTAGCAAAATAAAATTTTTACTTTTTCAGTGTTACGTTAAATGAGCAGCCGCAATGAAATCAAAACATGCAGAGGATATTAATACAAGTTTTGCTTTAAGTGATCATTAGCAGAAATAACATGAATAGAACATTTATACTGCAAACAATTCTCCGGTTACAGAAATAAGGCATAGAACGACTATCCATTTCACCCATATGACTTAAAGTAGTTTGTGGTTAAACTGGTTACACTGCTTAAAAATATGAGTGTAGCACTAAGTTTTTTGATCAGCTTTGACAATGTTTATAGTCAAGCTACACATACACACAAAATCAGAACCAGTATACATCTAAAGGTGGCTTGGCATTTCTGCTAGCCATTTAAATTAACATCAAATGCATGTTCTTTCTTACTGTAAAAAGCTACCAAAAGTATCATCACTATTTATAAGAAGAAAAAGTACAATACCTTTGCAAAAGAATGCATTATTTCTGAGAGAACATCTGAATCTGGTTCCGTCCCGATGGCTTTGATGAGTGCATCACACATGAAGTGCCACATCTGTGTGAGGTACTCTGGCCCACGAACTCTAGCACATTCAAGAAGGAGGGGCATTGACTCTGCTGCTGCCACTCGAACACGTTTTATTATTAAGGAAATAAAATGATCAAAGTCAACACAAAGTGCTTAGAATTTAAGCATCAATTACTATTATGAAGTTATTGGTTTCCTACCCGAAACTGATTTATTACACTCGATGTGTATCTAATTCAGAAACCAAATGCAGTCAAGATCATAGCAAATTTAAACCGTTTCAGGCCATGACAGAAAAGCTATTCAAGGTCTGTCTCACTTTGTTGACTCAAGCAATACTTTCTGTACTGTTTGCTTTCAACACTACAGGCAAGCTTATTTTTAAGAGAAATTTGGAGGGACTAGGATTCACTCCTTAAAATACTGTGTGTAAAATAAGGTTCTTGGAAACAAATATTCTGCTATGAAAGAATATAATATACTACCTAACAGCGTTAGCTTACACTTTCAATTCATTTAGGAGAGGAGTATGCACAACTTTTTGTTTCTTCCAAACCACATTTGCAATTTCACAGTAGAATTCATTAAAAGGATATCATCATGGAAATAGAACTTCAACAAGGGAACCATCAGCTTTACAACTTGCTCTGTGTATTCCACGAATCCTTCTTTTAGCTCTTTTGCATAGCAAACCTGAAACCAAAACACAGAAGTGCCAGCATTAAGGGGAAATACTGTTCTTAACATTTTTAAATTATGGAACAATTAGTGAAAGCTGAGCAAGGAGATTTCTTTAAAAACAAAACAGAAGCCTTTTAACAAATACGCAATAATGCATTTACCTACCCCTCAACAGCACTGAGCAATAATAATTGAGCAATAAATGCAGTAATGCATTTACCTATACCCAGATAGCAACATGAGTTCTCACTATTAATCCATTTTTTTTTTAAACAGAACTAAGAAACCTCAATATTTGTAAAAATAAACTATTTATTCTTTGTCTGCTCCAATTCTTTAAGAGTTCTGCTGAAGTAAAGAAAAAAACATCTGCTCATCTTAAAAATTCAAAAATTCAAACAGCATAGTAAAGAATCTGAAATCTAGAGTGCAACAGTATCATGCTAAGAAACACAGGCTGACTTAATTGGATACCATAACGAATGTTTTTATTACAGATTCTGGCTTCAGACTTGCTAGTCCAGCAATAAGTAGATCACTAACACTGTTCTATTACTCACCAGCATCTGGCATGCAGTTGCTTTTTCTTCAAGGCCTGCAGTTTTAATTCCAAAACTTTGCTGATCTCCTAGGTTTACAAATTCCCAACCATCATCATCACTCATATTCTCCATATCTTGTGCTGTTATGCAAAGCAAAAGAAGAATTCTAAAAATGCTACACAACGTTTTATTTCAGTATTTTTCTAGCAGAACATTATCTTAAACCTACTGTCTAAAAGAGCTACTTCAGGTTTAATGGATGCAGTCTTCATTAAAGGTCCCATGACAACAGGAAGATACTGCTGAAATTCCTTTCCAAGAATTTTACACATTCTTGCCCATGCTGAGATCATGTAAGAAATCTATAAACGAGAGTGCAGTCAGAATTTACGTTCTGCATTTTAATTTAATGCATATTTCAAAGAAAAGTGTAAAGAAAAACATTATACAACAGAACTATTTTTTTCAGTCAGCAGTGCATACAACGTACTTCAAAGAGAAGAAAAACCTAATTCTGCATGCAAGCTATATAAAAATGCATCTTCCAAACATCTCCCAAACTGTTATTTGTAACAGCGCATTGACAGTATCTCTTACAGAAGTTGCTTTATAGGTAAAAATGTGATAGTATAAGATGCACTTGTAATGCAGCCATGACTGTCTTCAAAAGTAAAAGTTCCTTACAAAATAATTTCCTGAAATGATAATACTGAGCCTCAGTTCTGAAAACATCAGACGGCTACTGTGCTACTGTGTTTTCAGATGCATGTGTCAAAATAGCTGTCCGCTCATCAGAACAGCTGTCTAATGAAACTAGTGGAACTATTTATAAAAGGTGACAGCAAGTGAATAGATCATACAATGTCAAATGAAGTAGTTACTAATAGACAAGGAACGATTGCCCACATGCTAAAATTTCTTCAGTAAATATAGATCCCGGAAGACTGATCCGTTAAATGCACTTCTCTGAAAAAACATTTGAGAACTATGGTGTTTGCTAACCAGGTTCTAGGACATATTAAGGCACTGAGTCTTAATTTTTGTAAGATGGGCTGAACGGTTATTTTGATGGTATAATTACATTTTTGGAGAACGTCATATGTACAAAGCGCACTTTAAATACTAATCAAATGATGTGCTGTAAGAGACACTTGTTAACATACCTGTGGATCATCGTCTTCTAGATCACTGAAGTCTGTCTGTGTCTTCAACAGCAGCTGCATGACATCTGAGGCATCCTGCATAAACTAGAAATAGGAAACAACCATATGCTTTCAAAGGCAAATTAGAAGGGTACTCTTCTGAGACTCAGAACCAAACAATTTAAGTGAGCATTAACGTCCAACACACTATCAAGACACAAGCTAAAGTTGCAAATAAATTGAAATGAGGTTACAAGCGAAAACACAAGTTCTTTCCTTGGCTGTGCCATAAAGTCATTGTGGACTTAACTACATTGTACTTCTATTCACATACATGAAAGCAAATGGGCAACTATTTTAAAAGGCACTACATGAATATTAGTGTTCATAAAAAAGAATCTTACAATTCTATCTTCCCCAGATATCCTCCCTACTATTTTGACTTCTCTGTGGAATTGGGATAAGCCAACAGCATGAGCGCACTACTCATGAGCTAGTAATATTTTAGGTCATGTCGGATGCCCCAGTAATGTTACGTACCTACGCTCTTTTCACTCCTTTCCTCATCCTAAATATTAGAGTCCACTTCTGAGATCTGACACTAGAAAGGTTTCCAGTAGTCCTCCAGGAAGAATTTATGAAGGTAACTTCTGCTTAATATGTTTTAAATTTAGCTACATAAATGGCTAAGTTTGCTGACAGACCACATTCTAAATCAAAAGAAAAGGCAGAAGTTTTCTTCCTCTGTTACCGTCTTCCCAATATCTATGTCATACTATTTTACTTAAAACTGTCATTTTTCTGTCTTCATCACTCAGTAAAATTGAAGTCTACAAACCACGATTCCAACTTGTTATCAGAACACCACTCAGGCTCCTACATAGCCCATTACAGTTGTTCCTTGGCTTCTTTATGGATATGCATTTTAACAAACATACTATCAACAGGAAAAAAGAAAACACCAAATATATCAAATCTCATGACAAACAAGAACTGGCAATACTACCGAAAGCACATTCAAACTTTTTCAAGCATCTGCTTCTAGAAACTATATTAAGCTTCTTTTTAGCTACATATATTTTAGCCCCCCTATTCTGACATGACAGTCTAAATGAGACACTTCAGTATTTCTTTTTTTTTGTTAAAAGTTCAGCCTCACTTTCAACAGCTGTCCAATATGACAAGAGTAACTTAAAACTGTTTTTTGGTTTGTTTGTTTGGTTTTAGTAACAGGCTTTTATTCTGAATTTGAATCTAAAAAATAAGACAGTTATCTCAAAAATAAAAAAGGGGAATACAAACGTGGCAATCAGTGACAACACATCTAGATGTTTAACAGGTGAATGCAACAATAATTCAACATGATCACAGAAGAAAACAAAGCTATTTTAAAAAAAATATTTATGCAGTCAGATGACACCTCAGCTTACCTTTTCTTTACCAACAGCAAGACCAATTAGGCTAATGCATTCAATAGTTTTTCCTCGTAAAAGTCTTAGTTCCTTCTGAACAGCATTCTCAACAATGTGTTTTAAAGAGGGCATAAATAAGTCATAGTAGGGAACAAACTTCTCCTCTGCTGTATCTGCAACTGATGCAATTGAAGTCACAACTTGCTCCAAAACTAGTTTAGTACCTTTCTGTATCAACTTGGAGAGAGGGAAGGGGGGGGGGAAAAAAAGGATTATATTTCTAAAGCACAAGTCTTACTCAAAAGTAAACCACACTTAAAATTCTGCTCTTGTATGTGTCTTAATTCTTATCAGTTTATAACAGTATCAGCAGATATGCCTACTGGTTTATATCAGATGTTACGTTCAGCTACAGAGACTTTGTATGTGACAAATCACCCTCCACAGTGACTCATTCAGTATATTATACCTCTTGTAATTTTATCACCATAGTGGAATGAAGATGCTTCACTAGATTATCCAAATACGGAATAAGCAGCGACTTGGGACAATCTTCAGTGAAGTTTATGAGTGCTGCAGCTGCATGGGCTTGAACACGCTGGTTGCCTTGGTCTTCCATGGTTTGCAGAAGAGCTGCTATTACCTGCAATACAAAAGTTTATTTTCATATAAAAAAAAACCCAAATCTCTGCATGGGACACAGTTTTATCACTTTTTCCTATGATCTACAACTTGCCTTCTCATGAAATTTCTTTTGGAAACCAGGTGCGAAGTCTGTTGCCATTTGTCCAATAGCATTACAAGCTGCATATCTTACCCTCGGATGCTGAAAAAATAATTCCCTCAAATAGTTAACAAGTAGTTAAGATAGCAGAAGTGAAAACATTTTGATATAATTAACTGAATTAGACTCACAGGATCCTGAAGGAATAGCAAAACAAAATTAACTATCTCATTCAAAATTCCTTCCATCTGTTGGTGGCAACCTTCTCCAATGGCTGAGAGAGCCATCAAGCCAGCATGCCTGTACTTCCAGTCAGCTACAGAATATAAAATAGCAAAAATTAATAATTTTGGAAACTACAAAGCACAATACACACAAATCACCTATTTTGGGGTGGGGGGTGGGGAAGAGAAGGAGAATTGATTGATCTACTTGATTTGTTAGATACTTTTCGCTTTTCCTCATGCATAATTCCAGTGGTGCACATAAAAATTTAGTCACCTAATCCAGGCCAAATCAAGACCTAAATGGAAATTCTACACTGCTGACACAAATATGCATCTGGTACTAACGTCTGGGAATTGCATTTTAATTAAATGAACTAACCAGGGAACATCAAGATAATTATTTTTTCCTTTTTTTTTTTTTTTTTTTTTTTTTAAAGTGGTATCAGACCAGCAGAATGGTAATCAGAACAGCAAACCTCCCTGTTTCGAGGGGGGACAAGGGGAGAAATCTAGGTAAGGAAACAATATATAAATTTAAAGCATTAAATTAATCAGGACTAAGCTTTCCAGAAGTGTCATGTATTTAGGAACAATAATATCTCATTTAGGGGATGCAAGGTTTTTTTGTTTTTGTAGTCCTATTAAATCTAATCTAATCAGACTAGTCGGTATTATTGACATTCTTTCATGCCCTTCTCCTTTTTCTCCTTTTCTTTAGGCCAAGGAAGCATGTGAATACCTGTGATTTGTAACAAAGTCTTTCTCTGTGCTAGAACCATGGGGATTACAGAACAGGAAAACAGAAGGGAAAAAAAAACAGGCTTATCAAATACCCTGTGGGAAAAACGGGTAACTGAACTTCTCCAAAATAATGCAAGATTTCATTATTTGCTGGTAATGTATTATATCCCTAGAACGTAAAACACCACAGTTCACAGTATGAGAATCCTCACACTCGAGCTTCTGTTTGATCAGAAGGAGAAAGAGCATAGAAAAAACACGGTATAGAAAAAAGTTTTATGCACTGCACATAAGTTTGATAAATTTCTGTCTAAAAGGTCTACACTTCCAAGTTTACAGGATCTACAGTTTTTGTTACTGAAATCAAACAATGAAGCATCAAAAAACGTTACTTAACTAAATGGAAAGGCTTTAAGAGGTAACGACATTTTTAGAAAGGCTAGAATTGTAAAAATTTACAATTACTTACGATTCTGAAGCATTTGCATAATATGTTCTTTAATCATAGGTAAAACAAGTTTTCCTCCAAGGCCACATGCCATTCTGTCCAATGCACTCTCACCAGCAACTGCGTTGCTAAATATTAGTTAGAAAAACGTCAATGGTGTGATATCTACATAAATCGAACAATTCAGCAGAGTACCGAAGTGCCTTTTCTGCAGTTCTACTCCTTCAAACTTTTAATATCTGAATATATATGATCCTCCATAAGTAAATAAAGCATGCCCAAATCTGAAACACACACTTATATCAGGAATGCTTCAGTTACAAAATATTTATTTGCACTCAAGGCTCCACTTATTCAATGGGCTACAAATAAATGCTTAAGCCTAATACCAGAGGAACTTGGGCATAACTAGCACTGAAGGTATGGAAAGAATTTTACAATGATTACAAGAAAGCAATAAATTAAAATTGCAGTGAGTTAAGCAATAATTCTGGCCAGCATCTTTCTGTACAAGAAGAGGGAACACACAAAGACTCAGTTCAGAGTTGCTATAAATCAAGTGAACCAGCAGGATTCAAGCTTTAGCATTTAAGAGACTTTTTTTGTGAGGCAGCACTATCAGTACTCTAGCATGTTCCCCTTGCCAGTGACTCAGATAAAAAACATTCAATCTAGGTAAGGAATCTGTGACTTGCAGCCAGTTCCAGAACTGAGAATAGCCAAACATTATCTGTGTAAAGTGATTTACTCCACCCAATAGAATTGTTCCCTGTAGAAAAGGGGAAAAAAAAGTTTCCAGGACACAGCTAACTACTGTTACAGTCTGGATATGATTAACAGTGTAATAGCTTAAGGTTGTTACAGTACATCCTGAATACCCATGCTAATGGAAAAAACAAGTAACTGGTTTCAGAAAAGGGTGACTCTCCCTCTTCTTTCAAGCATCAGTCAACACGGTCAGAAATGCAGAGGTCTTCAAACTATCATGCCTGAGTCCTCAAGTCTCATTACAAGCCATACGCAGTCTAGAAATTCACTTGCTGTGTACAAAGGCGTTTGCATAAATATATCCACAATATTATATTTGTTCTTCAGAGATCCAGATTAATCGTGTTCAAACAAACAGAACCATCACCAGAAGAAAACAGAGCACGAGCACAGAAGTTTTTCACTGAAGCAAACTTACAAAAAATAACAGCAGCTCTCATCTGCACTGACGTTCCTTGAGCTCTTTCCTTTCATCATTAACGCACACATTCAATTTGAGGAAATAAAGATCTTATGAGAGTGACCACATACCTCCCTGCAACATTTTCTTGACTTTGCCAGGGGAAGAGGAAGTTGGATTAATCTCTTCCTGCTTTAGGATTTCACTGCTCTATGAAGTCAGAATAGCAAGAAACTGGAAACACTAAAACTTTCTGGGTTTTTTTTGTGTAAGCTGACTCACATCCCCTTTGCTCAGACCAAGAACATCCTAACTAGGTTGCAGTTTGATAACCATTAGCCTGTTTCTGTGACTGCACAAAACCTCAAAACTTCTTCCATAGCTGCGAAGATGCAAGCACAAGAAAAGGTTAGCATGCACATGAGCTAATCAACACCTCTCCACAAAGATGATCTGCAGTTGTGAGAAACAACTAGTAACATCTGTATATCTGCTGAAAGAATAAAAGACCGTAAGCACAGTCAGCAGAGACTAGCTGGTATACAGTATTTGTGTCTGAGCCTCAATCTCTCCAATTATTAATAGGGTCAGAGAAGTTAAGTTTCTCCTTCAGGCTAAGTCGGCTAAGCACAACCTGCTTTCTGGTCTTTGCTCACTCTACTTGCAATTTGTAACAAAAAAAGACAATCTTCATAGGGAAAAACATAGGGAGCTAATTTCTGTTTAGAGGAACAAAGTTACTATGCTGACAATAACGAGCAATTGGCATCATGGAGATGACGTGGAGTACTTACTAAGCTGCCTAAAACAGGTCATCTGCATAAACTTCCACACCCTGAAAGACTGATAAAAATTTAAACATCTTTTACCCTTAACTCAAAAATATGCTATTTCCCCTTGACATTTAGCTGAAAAGATTCAAACACCTGACAAACCTGAATGCAGTGGCCCAACAGTTCTACCTATGTCAACAAAACAAAGCTAAGAAAAGAAAACAGGTTGAAAGGTTCCAGTCTATGATGAGATAGAGGGGAAAAGTTTTCTTTGAATTCCATAATCAAGAGGAATAAAAAAATTTATTCCATGTAAAGTAGAGATTAAACATGTTCTTCCATAAATTCCTATGCGATGTGGCTATACATGCCTGATATCTAATAAAAGTTACTATACAGGCAGGCAGTGGTAAATTAAGAACTTCTCCATAGCCTGTCTTCCTATAAATTAGCAATCTGATTTGAAATTTTTAAGTAATGAGAGGGTGGAAGGACTTGCAAGACAGAGCAGGAGATGCTTCCAGACAAACACACATAAAAGCATGCAAGAACAAGCTTGGGAAGCTGCTTCGGAGAAGGAAGAGTTGCACAACTAATACTTGTTTTGATCACTCACTATTAAGAAAACATCAGTAAGAAGTTTATTTTTCCCTCAATATTCTTCCTTCAGTATTCTCTTCTCCTTCATTCACTTGGTAAAATTCTAGTGCCCTCTGTGACAAGCTGTTCTGAAATACTAATTAAATCTGAGTATTGAAGGACACCCCAAATGTGCCCAAAAAATCCAGATTGGTAAACGAACTACAGGCCAGTCAGCCTCACCTC